CAAACACAGAAGCAAAGGCAGCATTCAGCAGCTCTGCTTTGTCCGTGTTTTTCGTGACCAGGGTACCCACGCCATTCACTAGTGGACCCACGTTCTCCCTGACCTTCCTTTTGTTATTGATATATTTGAAGAAGTTTTTCTTGTTACTCTTAACATCAGGTGCCAGATTTAATTCCAATTGTGCCTTAGCTTTCCTTGTTGCATCCCTGCATTCCCTGACAACATTCCTGTATTATGTCGTACCGGTTGCAACTGTGTTGCAACTGTGAAACAATAATTGCATAAAAACATAAAATTGGTATCCTGTATAACTGTTTCTCATCTAGTGAAGTCAACTGTAATATAAATTGTACAAAATAGGCAATTTCTTAAAGGTAATGTAAAAACGAGCACTCCTAAGATCTTCATTATAGCAAGCAGTATTATGCCACAGCGCATTTATCACATTTCAGCTACACTTGCTAAAATATTCAGATTACATCACCAAGTTTTTGAATACGCAGAGCCAAAACTCTTATAAAACCATAACAGAAAGTTTGCCACGAACTGTACTCCACGCATGCTCTCACCTTCACCGGAGGTCTGGAATTCTGCAGGATCTTTCCCACAGCAGACAAAATTCCACACATGAGCGCGGAAATCAGCACCATGACGGCGGCCGCCGTCCACCAGGACATGCTGCAGAAATAGCACAAACCTTCTGCCGAGGTGCACACAATGACGTGGACGGCGCAGAGCGTCAGGCACGTCAAGTAGAACAGCAGGGAGAAGAGCGGAGGGGAGAGGGGCACTTCGAATTCTGCCCGGCGGCTCAGGGCTTTGGGAGTGATGAGCAAGAGCAGAAACAGGACCTAGAAATAAACACAGAAATGGTGCTTAGGCGCTTGAGATCAACTAAACCACATAGGAATTCACACGTCCATACAAAAAGAAGAATATTGTTGCCATCTATGTCATGCTGCTTGTATGCATGTATCACAAAAAGAAGGAAAATACTGAAAAGAGCTATACTTGACATTTTGATCCCACTGAGGTATTATCAAGAACCAAAGATTGTATTTTTATTTGTTTAAGGGCTCAGACCCACAAGTTGCCAGGGTTTAATGAACTACCACGTGCCTCCTGACTCACTGTAACCCATCGCATGCACGATCTTCATTCCTTGCAATGGCAGGAACGCTGATTTGCAAATTCACAACAGATCCCAACCTAACAAATTTAACCATTATTATGAAGAGGCCAAAAGTTACATATGTGTTCTAACAATGGCTGTTTCACAAGTTATGGATACAAAGAGCTCTCACTGAACTAAATGGCTTGAAGGGCTCAGAAAAGCTCTCATGCTAACACGCGTGCACGTGTCATTTTTGGAGCTTATGAATTCTTCCCATTATTCCCCATCCTCCTCCTCCTCCTCTCAAATTGCTTTATTGGTTTTACTTTTTCAGAGCTAATGCTTTGCTCCAACCCACACACAGATCAGGCAGAATTCCAAGTTTCCTCACAGGTAACTATAGCAGTAGAGACTCATACTAATGTGAATGATTTCTGCACAAATCTTTTACAAACAAGGAGGTCACTCCAGTAGCAATCCTTCTTCCTCATAATATACTTTGCACAATGGACATGGTTATGAAAATATGAAATTCCAGGGTATCAAACCAGCTTGAGTTTCACTTTTTCTTTTTTAATACAGCATTTGCAAATAAAAACTGCACTCATGACAGGAAAGTACTCAAATTGCAGTTATCTATAAAACCTAAATTCAGCCCCTTTGAGTAAAAACTCTATGGATACACACTTCCATTATTTATCCATTAATTCCTCAGAGACATTCTAATTATTTAAGATACTGGACCAATTGCATTTAGAGAAGTGTTTGATTTGAAGCCACCTGTGTGATCTCCTTCCCTTGCTTACCCAATGACACTTAGAGATACGCAGTACCAAGACGAAAAGGAGATTTTGGAAAGGAAGGTAGCGTGAGTGCCACACAGAGAAAATAAACATGTATTTCCAACACTTCTGCAGACACTCATCAAGAGATGGAGAGCCATTTCCAGCACGACCAGCACCCCTGGGCTCAGAGAAGTTCAGAAGGGGTCCCAGGTGCCCCATGATGTGCAGGACAGTGTAGGATGTGGGTCTTCAGTCCCTGCTGTTGCACAGAGAAAGGTGCAACACCTGAACACAAGCAGGCCTTTGATTTACGCTAGTAGCCACAGCTATCAGCTGGACCAGGACCTCCTTCCTGAGCTTATCCAAACAGTGGGAACACCTCCCATGGTAGACATGATCCAGGCCAGCATATGGGAAGTGTGTATGTGACGGAGCCCAATATCGAGTACGAAGCCTGAACAAGTAACAGCAGAATTTCAGAGAGAGCAACAGGCCTGAGTTGGCTTTAACCCACATGCTCCTTCCTGGGAACTGGGAAGTCGAGCTCCATGAGCATATTATAGAGATTGGAAATGACAGTCACACTGGTACTGTCAATGCACTCTGTAAGTGTGTATTTGTATTGTGGTTTCAATATATTGCTGGGTCACTCTGCTAAAACAAAAATCCCATGTAACACCGGGTGTGTGGGACATCTAAAAGAAGCTGGTCAGAGAGTACTGGACTCTACATCTTGTTATTCAAACTTTTCATGGACAATCAGTCCTTATATTTCTTTTTTATGAAGGGCATCGACTGAAATACCGGAGCTCAGTTTTGCAGGAACAGTAAACCCCAAGAATTACACTTTAAAAAATAAAACAAGCAAACAACCAAAAAAGCCCAACAAACACCTGAGCACTTTGTTTCCCCAAACTAAGGAACAGGGCAGGAACCTGAGCACTACAGCTCAACACTTGACGCTGTCCCTCGTCCCCTGCAGTCTGCTCAGCAGGAACAGAGGCTACTGAGCCTCCTCTCAGGGCACTCTGGAAAAAAATTCCCATGGAGAGCTCAGCACGATGGCAAACTTCACTAAGAGGAGAATTAAAGCAAGCTTACAATGCAGACTTTCATCCTTTTCTCACAAAAAAAGTTACTCAACTTTTTCTTAAGTCCTAGATTAAGAACTAGTTTAAGTTCCAGCTGTAGTTCTTCTGAACTTACTCTAAAAAAATCACACCCATTTTCTCTAAAAAGTGAGTACTAGCTTCTGTGCAGAACAAATCTCATGGTTCATGAGATGTCATGAGATGTCATGTCAGCAGGTTTTCAAAGCAGTGGCACAGGGGGTATTTTCCACACTTGAGAATCGTCGAAAATAAGAATTGCAGAGAACTCCTTAAAAATCCAGAGATGGAGCCTTTTTTTAAAAACCAACATTTTTACAGACTAGAACAGTCCATACTGCCTATCATCAGTTTCCAGACAAGACATGAAGTGGAAACCAAGCACTTTACAGTAAATATTTTTTCCAGGCTTTAGGCCTACCATAATGAAGAAAAATTCTCCAAGTCTTAAAACTGGCCACAAAATCTCTTGCTTCTTCTGACCAACTATGCTGAACAGTAATTTAGACAATCAGGAACAGGTAGGAACTTACTTGCCTTTTTTTTTTTTATTAAACTTTTTAATGCAGTTAAGCTTGCTTAAAAAAATACAAGATTTGCGAAATGGGAGTAATTTAAATTGCAAAATATCTGCATGTCTGCTATAAATAGTTCCACCAAAACTTAAGCAACTTATATCAAAAGCTGCCCAAATTATTTTACAAGCTAAGTTATAGATTAAAAAGAACATTATCCTCCTTTAAGTAGAAAGTCAGCCAGCCCTGAAAGAGTTAATACTCAGCAATCCTGCAGACTTGCAAGAGTAAACACAAAGTATTCAAAAATGAGAAAACATCATTTTTGTATTCGTATTTTTTTCCGTGGAAATAAGTTTTCATACCTCTAGGACAATCACAGTTCCCACCATCATCGAATACATGTCATATTGTGCCACTTGTTTGCTTAGTGAAGAACTCAGAGTCTTCAGGGCCTTCAAGTACTGCTTCAGGACCTTTTTGCCAAGATTTAAGAGGACTTCTGAATTATTCCCATCTAAGTACAGTTTGATCCAATTACCATGGGACTTTTCTGCTATCTTGAAGTGCTCATATCCAGGATCTAGTAACGGGGAAAAGAAGCAAACAAACAACAACAAAAAGGTGAGAGAATCCACAAATAGAATAGAAATTTGATTATACTTCTGTATTTGCTTGCATAATATAAAAAAAGCTTGCTATGGAGGTTAAACCTTTTTCATACCAAGAAAGGTAAAACGTCTTCATGTAATAAAACCATAGTGAGCCAGGCACTCAGAATGATTCCTAACCAGATAAAAAAATGAAAGCTTCTAGAAAATAATAACCATTTTAAAATATGTTCCATTTCTATAGATTTCCAGGATGAACTTATTTAAATTCTTTACATTCTGACAAAATTTAAGTTTTCCACTGGAGACTTTCATTATCCAGCCATCACGCACAAGCCAAATGGGAAATCATGAAATAGCTGATCTCTGGAGAAAACATTAAAGGATATAAGCTTGAGATATTAGGAACTCTAATTACTTATGCTGCAAAGCTAATGAGAATTCATTCGCAACATGGGGTGAAATGCACAAGATGCCACATACACAGGCACTAATGGTTAACAACTAAAATGCAATTTGGCTTCAAGCATTGGGACAATACAGTCAGTGACAGAGAAAATTAGAAAGTTTACTACTGTATGAAAATTGCCCATACATTAACCTGGATTAAAAAAAAAAAAAAAAAAAAAGGAGCGAGAAAAAAAACAAAATTAAGTTGTCATTGACCTACAGAAGGAAGCCTGTGGCAGGGTGTAATTTCACTGTGACCTAGCCACATCTAAAAGAATTTTAACCAAAGGAAAAGATGAAAAAGAAGACTCAGGAAAAAACAAGCTTCAGGTCAATCACATATCTGTTGCCCATTTTTAGGAATTTCATGTGAAATTATAGATTTAAGTAAGTTTCCTAACTCTTTAAGTGTGTAAAGGGAACTGCCCTTGAGCACTGAAACCAAGGGACAACTGGATTCTACCAAGATCCGTAAATCCATATTAGTTTCTCCATGGCCAGTTCCATAATAAAATAGTGACTACACTCACTACTTCATTCATATGAGTCTGAAAGGATTGCTTGGGCCTTTTGGAAGACAGAGGGTTTGCTCTTCAGTGAGTAAATATTTACTGTCTTATCTCATGTAAATATGCTTCATCCTAGACACACAGCACAGACTTTTAGCAAAAATTAGAGAAGTCCAGAAAATGACAACCTCTGGCAATTGATTTAATTTGTGCCTCAGTTCTTTATGAGGAAAATTATCTACTTTGTTCCTTTCATAATCATCTTTCTTCTGTCTTGTGCCAAGAATTTTCTGGACTGATTTGCAATGAATATTGTATTGCTCACTGGAGAAACAATGCAGGTGTTTTTAATTTTACTGCATATTCTTCAAGAGAATGAATTATTCTCATTCACAACTCTTGCATAGTTACAAAATAAATCTTTTTCTGTATTGTAAATTTAATTGTAAGTTATATCTTGAAATCTAAGCAAATTCCTTCCTCATCATCTGCTCCTGTTTACACCTCTCACTCACTCTTCCTTTTCATTTCCTTAAGAATTTTTAATTCATTCTTACCTGCCCACATCCACTGCCCACTAAAACCACCTCATTCACGGAGTGGAAGTTGGCTGTGGTAATCCAACACAATTTTTTTTTTTCCTTTGAGGTACAAAACAGGAACAATTTAATGATCTCTCAGAATGAGGGAAATGTGTTACCCAATTTCATCTGAGAACTCCAGTGTTAACCTGTTGGGTGGCCTATTTGTAAGAAGTTAGTGCAAAACAAGAAGGGTCTCAGACTCTGCGTTGTTCAAGAGGCCTTTTGGGGCATATTTACGCAGTGTTTTTACATGGAATAATCAGAAAAAAGGCTAGACTCAAGGCAAAATATAAAATGTTCTTGCCCATCAATGGGGTGGTTTCCAAGGCACACAGAATGGTTTATTTGCTAAGTATTATTTTAGCATTTTCTGTTTCAGCCCACATCCCCTGCCATAGCAAGCTGGAGAATAAAGCTGGCAGATATAAATGAAGTCATTTGTTTAACACATGCACCTAATAAATATTAGCTCCAAAGCGAAAAGGGGACACTCACTTTAATAACAGCATTCAACCTGCTCTTATTCGTGACTTTTCACTCAACTTTTAAATTATCTTTTGAAGAAGCAGTCTTAGCTCAGGGTTTAGACGGTTGATCACAAGATCATAACTACCTTCCTAGAGCTGCCTTCTTCACAGTGAGGTTACTCACAACGCCCAGCTCTGTTCCAGGTACTTTTTCCTTCAGCTTCTTCATTTTTCACAGCTTTTTGTTCTTCATTTCCCGACTTTTTTGTTTGTTTGTTTGTTTTTAGTTGCATGTGTTGTTCTCTAATGAAAGAAAACCTAATGCCTCAAACAGTACTTTTATTCTTTTTCTTGAAATAACCAAGTCCTTCGTCCAGTGTCAGGCTTCCTTATTTAACCTTTTAACTTTTATTCACCCTAATCTACCTGAAACAGATGTAACTCTTGAAGATTCCTTAGCCCCTTAACAAGTTGAAATGTGAGCCGTAAGAAATGCTATAAGAATGCGTATGAAAACATTTTTCATGTGAAAAGTATCCTCTCAACTTTTATATGAGTAAAATTTAAAAAAAAAGTTCATGAGCTGCCTCAACTCACTAAGTATGTATATTTAATATACAAATAAAGATCAAAATATTTTTGTGCACTGTTCCAGTTTGTTCTTAATACTAGATTGGCTGAACTGCAGCAACTCCAAAGTTTCTTTATCAAAGAGCATGTAAGGCCATTCTGTCTTTCCATTTGATGTAATTCATTTCCATTGACATCTGACTTTTGCATCAAAAATTTAATAACATTGCACCAAAAATTAAACTATAGATTGTGCTATAACTTACAATGGGTGAGTCTTTTTTCCCCATGACTCAATCAGCATATTCAAGTTATTAATAGCTGGTGCTCTATATCTCTGCAATCTAATTACAACACTCTTTCAGGGAATTCCATGTTTCCCCCCCCCTTCAGAAAAGCACACTCCTTTCCATCTGAAGAGCTTAAAAAGAAAAAAAACAGCAACTTAGGCTATCCCTTTAAGTATCTGCCACTTCAGACTTATGTTCCAGCAATATGCATTTTTTCTACCATTCATTTGAGATTATATCATCCGTCAGAATTGTCATTAGGCACAAATGAACATTAGAAAGCTTCAGCTTGCATTCAGCAAACCTGAGTGATGTATAATGTTATTTTCTGCTTCTTTTTCCCTTCAAAAAACAAGTAACACACCTTGTATGCAGAATTCCTGTAAATGGCACAACCCAAGAATTGTCAGCTCAGATCTGAGGAGGATCCAGAGATCAACAAATATGAGCAAAATGCTCATATCTAACCCAACATATAGAGATCATATCCCACTGTTGACCTATCACTTGACACCCACCAAGCTTTCTCCAAAAGCTCTGAGAACCTAACTCTCAGACTTACTTTTTCCAAGAAATATTTTATTTTCTTGATATTTATAAGGTGCAATTCTGGACTCCTAATGGTATCTTTCATCGGCAGAAATAGTGTTGACCTACGTTTCGATTTTCAAATACTCACAAATTGGAAAAACTAGTAAACAAAATCTCTTTTTAGATACTCTATCTCAAAAAGACTGTGGACAAAAGATGTTTCCAATTACAATGCTGGAATATGAAAAATTCATCATGATTTGCAGAAACAGTGAATGGATACAGTTGGAAAAGAAAATTGGGGAATTTTCTAGTCCAACACTTGTAGTCAGGCAGAGTCAATCAGAGTAGGTTGCTCAGGGCTGCATCCAGCTGGGTTTAGCCTATCTCCAAGCACAGAGACTCCACAGTCTCTTGAAGGCAACCTGTTCCTGTGCTCAGTCACTCTCACAGTAAAAGAAAAAAAGATTTTTCTTTCTTGAAAGAATTAAATGCAACATCCTGTGCTTCCATTTGCAGTGTCTGGGATTATCCCTCCCTAGGGCAGAACTCTGCACTTGCCTTTGTTGCTGTTTGCCCATTTTTCAGTTTGTTGACATCCCTCTGAACAGCAGGGCAACCAGCTGTGCATCAGCCAGCCCTCCTGGCTTTGCACTGTGCACATATCTGCTGAAGGTGCATCCTCCCTAGTCATCCAGGTCATCAATGAAGATGTAAGACAGCCGTGGTTGCAGCACACCACTAGCAAGTGCCCTCCAGAGGAACTTCATGAAGCTAGTCACAGCCCTGGAAGCCCAACAATTCAAGCCATTTTCAGTTTACTTTACTTTCCATTTCTCTACCTTGACTTCGTCAGCTGGTCTATGAAGATGTTATGGGATATTAGTGCTATTACCAAACAATGCTTTTGACAAGACAAACAAAATCTTCTGCTCTCCCCTCATCCACTAAGCCAGTCATCTCACCATAGGATGCTGTAAGGGTGGTCAGGCATGTTTCATCAGATCTGTGCTGATTAATTACCTTCTCATCCTTCACATCCTTGAAAATGACTTGCAAGTGTGTTTGTTTCATCACTTTCCCAGAGATCGAGGTGCGGCTGACCATGCTGTAGATCCTCCTCCTCACCCTTCCTGGAGACTTGAGTGACATTCACCTCCTTTCAGTCCTCAGTAACATCCCCTAACCGTTATGACTGTTCAAATATTACCAAGTGTAGCTTTGCAATGACATTGTCCAGCTCCCTTGGCACTTGTGCCTGTATCCCATCAGGTTGCACAGGATTGTGCATATTTGGTTGGCTTAAATGTTCCCTCACCTGATCCTCCTCCACTAAGAGTAAGTCATCTCTGCTTTGGACCCATCCCTCCATACTTCTTCTAGTATGCTTCCTTCTAGTACCCAACCCCTATGATCCTGACTGAAGTTTCTTACAGTACACATTAAGAATCCTCAAAGAATTTCAGGGATTAATAGAACAACATGGAGAATTTAGCTGAAGACTCTCCAGGAAAATTACAATGACTTGGATCTCATTCCATTTTATTGTGACTCTATTACTGACAGAAGTCCATCATGGATGCTTTACCTTACAAGCCTTCCCTGGAAGTGCAGGACCACTAACAGCAGCTTATAGTATCAAGCAACGTAAATTTGCTAGCACTTCCATCCTGAGCAACTTTAGTTTCACTACTCAGATGGAAGCCAGAAGTAGAAATTAAATTGTTCCTGCTCAAAAATCAGCCAAAAGTTCGTGATATAAAACCACAGCCTGGTGCTGCAATTTTGAGTAACACAGCCATATCCATAACACATGAACAAGAAACATTACCTACTTATGTCAAGTAAAGAAATCTATGTAGGAAAAAAACAAATAAATGGAGGCCCTACTATTAACATCTCCCTACTGTTAGCTGCATGTTTTTGTTAAGACTCACAGACAGGGTTTAATTATGATTAGCAGCCATGATGTTGAAAGACAATTAATTCTTGACCTACACTGATCATCTTGCAAAAGTTAACATTATTATTCACTTTAATTATTCATAACTGTAACACAACTTTGCATTCCCTTCCAGTTATTCAACTTTGAACCTGATGAATCACTTTAGTGACAAGGACTTCAAGATTCACAATCATTTCCTCTTTTTTTATCCTCTTTTTTTTTTAAATCATATAATTATCACATTAGTTTAGGTATTTATGCTATAGCCCCTATCACAAATGCTACGTTTTGAACAGGGAAGACCAATTCCAGTCGTTGTTTATTCTTTCCCCTAAACACATGCAAACACATAGGTACACATTTATGTATACACTTTCATGTAAAAATTTCCAGTTCTCTGAGTAAATTCATACAAATCAGTGAAATAAATAATCAGTTCATCCTAAATAATTTTGCAGTATTATCTAAACTTTTTTACATTAGAAAATCCATTCCATTGTGCTACATTTCAAACAGCTTTCAGAATCAGTGCTCCATTAACAGCAGATATGAAGGGACTGAGCCTAACCATACTGGCAGTTCTTTAGCTGTCTTACAGTTTCATCACTGCTTCTATTCTTTTGTCTGTTAGCAGCAAAACAGGCCATTAGAAATGTTTTTTCAGATGCAATGTGCCAGAGTAGATAAAAGCTAACAGCAAAATAAGTGTCATTTCCCAGAGCATCCGTTTCAACTGAGTTTCAACTAATCTGCAGTTTCATGCTATACCCTTGAACCTAAAAGACCAAAGTGTATTTAAAACAATCTCATATTAGTAGGTATATATATTCTAGTCTTTTTCAGTCCATGTACCTTTTTCATATGCAGGTGTGTTCTCTTGCAGCAGTCTGCTAAGTTGGAATCCATTTAAGTGCAAGAAGCGCAGCTGTTCTCTCATTGTCTTGCCTCCCACAATGGGCAATATAAGATTTCCAACACTGTTCTTTGATATAGGTAGACCAAGACCTACTGCCAGTGTGGTAGCTAAGTCAGTCTGCTGCACAACTTTGGGTTGGCTAAAAGGACCTAGAATCGAGGGAAAAAAAATGCCAGTTACAGAGTTACAGGAACATTCTAGAATTCAATTCTCAGCAAATATCACTCTTAGGACAGCAATTACTCTAAGCAGAACATGAATGCTGTACAAATAGGCAAAGAGATGATCCATGAGACCACCACAGTATCAAGCTGCAGCCTGCATCCTGAAAAGCAAACAGAACTACATATCAGATAGAAGATCCAGATCCAATTTCTGCAGTTCCATGTGGTGAAATCAGTTATTTTAAACTAGTTTTGTTCAGGATCTCATTAGTTTACTGCATAAGCAGAACGGCCCCTAGTCGCAAAGAAACTGACACGCATGGCACCTAAGTAAGAGTTCACTTAATTTTGCTATGCCAAGGAAAGTTCCTTCTGTACCTTACTAGTTACACAGCAGTGTTTTTTTCAATTATCCTTTTACTCAGCTGTCTTTGTAAATCTAAGCATTTAGTGTTTTGGCTTAAGACCATGATAACAGCTCTGTACACAGTATCTACTACTCTCAAGGCTTCCTTTAAGAGCATTAGAAACTCTCTCATTTCACATCCAGTTGTGATTATCCTCACACCTTTGAATGCCATCTATAATCCTTAAATCCTTTTTGCATGAGTACCTCTGCATCAGCAGCTTTCAGTTTACACCATTAAAAGGTAAGCTTTGAACTTGACTTTAACTTTTACTTCGGAAAAAAAGACCAAAATCCCAAATTCCAAGAAAAACAAGTTACCATTTAGTCAAATCTGAGTGAAACATCTCTGTTGAAGGCTACACAAGTAATATTCTGATTTCATACTAAATGCAGATGTCTATCAGATTATTACTTTTAGTCTACCAAACTGACCATAGCACAGTTTATTTACACAAGGATGATAGGGAACAAAAACTACAGTTGAGGTTACTGAAGCAATGAGAAACAAGCTACTGGGTGTTTTCATCAACATCATAATTCAAAAACTTGATCCTAAATATATTAAAAATAGACATCTAGTTTAAATTCAACACAGAGATTAACCACAATGAGAAAATACTTACAGAATATACCCTTAAGAAACCTGTCAGTTAACAAGTACAATTTAGACATTTATAAAGTAAAAGCCTACCAGGGAGCTTTTAGCTTTGTTCTTTCTTTGGCTTTGTAATCAGCTCTTAACTTTGATTTTCATACATATATATATGTATGTATGTATATCTGCAAAGAGCTTGATGATTCCCAAAGCTATGCTTTATGTTTCAGCTACCTACCAGCTTCACAAGTAATAGCCAGATAGACAGATTTTGGCTGTGCTGCAGAAGCCTCCATCAGGAAAAACAAATTAAGGTTCTGCAGACATACTTTAAAAGCAAAGAAATTAGGCAGAAATAGGCAAAAGGTGCATTGAAAGGCAGAGGGAAGAATTTTTTGAAGAAAATATTCACTCCTGTTACAACGAGGCAAGAAGATATATGTTAGACTAAGCACTGTTGCAAACCACTGGTGTTCTCTACCATTGCCTTAAGTCATGTCTTGCAAGTAGAAAGTGTCAGAAACAGATAAACTCAATTTAATGATGTAAAATGAACTACTTGGGCAATACATGTATCCTCAGTATCTGTCCTTAGATACCTTGCAATCAATAATCATGTTCTCCCTGCTGCAATCTCTTTTCATTTCACAAAGGTAATTCCTCCCCTTTGCTATTACTCACAGCAGGAGAAACAGGCTTTTATCCCTCTCTACTGGCTCTCAGAGAGGGATGCATGGTGGGCAAGGAAATATGCTGGCTACTCAAAACAAAACTTACAACTCACTACAAACAGCATTTTCATTTTAATACAGGAATGCTAGGAAGAGGTCCCCCTCAACAATTTTTTAGCAACTCTAGAGCCAACATGAATTAGAGATAGTACTATATACCAAGTAGGATATTTTTTGATTCTTACCATTTCTCTTCTCGAAAGCAGAGCTGATAAACAGCAGTGGTGTGTGCACTTCTTCTTCTGAAGAACCACCATGACTACCTGTTTCAGACATGCCATGATCCCCACAAACAACCAGTAAATTGGGCGGAGCTGCCCCTCCTTCCTGCAATTCAGGAAAAAAAACCACATTTACAACACTGTAGCAAACAAAATGCACATACAAAGTTCTTCAATAGCAGTATCATATTTATATATGAATACTTTCAAAGAGTGTGTATATTTTTAACTGTCTTACAGCATCCAAGGTAGATAAGTAGAGACATCCTCAGTGAAGTGTTATGCAAAAATATGTATTTTTTAAAAGATACACATACCTATAGCAAACATGATAAAAAAAAAATCTACACAGACAGAAGAAACTGATCAAAAAAATAAATACAGGTCCTCACGCTGTGCCAAGAAAACCAGAAGAAGTAATAGAACTGACTGAGAACATTTCCCACACAGTTTCTTCAGTTTGTTTGAATTTTCCAGCATGAATTTAAGGATATTCCTTTCCATAAATATATTATAAGGAAGGGGATTTAAGTACAATCGAGTGAAACGGTCTAAACATATAAAGCAAAAAAAAAAAATAATAATTACATGCCTCCATGTTAGACCATGAGCTTTAAATTCAAACAGGCTAAGGAAATTATTTTTAAAAATGTTCATATTCAAATATCTTCTCTAGTTTCTTAGGTGACTTTAGGGTATTAATTTAATATATCTGATGTCAAATGATGTCCATTTTTCTAAAGAATTAGAAATAGAAGTTTAAGTGAGGCCTGTTCTTGCACTGCCAGCTGATTGCCAGTACCTGCTGTGTTCAGAAATACTTTTATTATTTCTATGTTCCAAAATTGAGATAAATTCTTGCACATAACTTGCAGAAAGCTTAACATATTAACAAACTGTGCCAAAAGCATTGCAATAGTATAGATTAAACTGTAACTTTCACAAGCAGGATTTTATCCTGTCTTTTGGTATGTAACCATCTGTCTGTCTAAAAATAATTCTAAAATTTTATGAGCTGCTATTCTGAATTCCAGTCATTCAAGGAATAATCTTTAGGCCACTCGGAGCCAGGATTTGTTATTTCGGCAACCAAGTTATTTTGTGAAGTGATGTCTCAAGTCACCAACTCAAAAAAAAAAAAAAAAAAAAACAGATTTGACAATTTATATACTCCATTTAACATAAGAAAAATACAACAGTAATTTCAGTAGCAACCTGTGAACTAGCTACACCCTAATGACTTTCTAAATGAAAAACACTGGCTATACATGCCTCCTGTTCCTCCAGCTGAATTTCACTAGTAGAAAATACGCCAACCACCATTTTAATCCATGAATGATAGCAAAATTTTAACACCAGTTTTCCCCTTCCTCCCAGAAAAGGGGGTTTATTTCCCACAACTGTTCAGAAGAGATTCTTAGCAGTCTTTACTAATGTCAGGCAGTAAATCCTTAAAAATGCTACACTACATTAACTGGAAAAGGGATAGGGAAGGAAAAGAACAGAATATTCACTGACCCAGCAGTAAACCATCACCCATGAAAAAAAGGTTTGCAAGGAATATAAATAAGATTTTAATCTACAAATACCAGATTCTGATCCAAGGACACGATGTATTACCTTTGAAAGAAGAGAAATATGAATCTTCTTGAGGATGTTATCCATTTCACGAAGCTTTGGTCCTACTAATATGCTGTTTGGTCCAGTCACATGACCGATATGGTCCAGTCCTAGATAATGTAATATTAGGATATCCCAGTCTTCTCTCTTTAACACCCTGTCCAAGTGCCTGGTAACATTATCATCAACCTCAGAAATGAAAGGGAAACAATTGAAAGCTAACAACAACAACAACAACAACAGATTATTAAAAAGCAAGTAAAAATGGACTGCACTACCCAAAAAGTTCCACAAACGTTCGTGAGAACTCCAGTCACTCACAAATTTAAAAGAAAAAAATATTCAATCTGCTCAGGTCAATGCCAACCAAAGTTAGAAATTCTGTCTCTCAAAAAACATTCTTTATCTTATCTCACTCCCTTCTGGCTATGAAGTGTCAGATTACATGCAAGCAGAGAAGAAATTGTTTGTTGATTCTTTCACAGATATTTCAAGAAAAATGTTTCAAGACATTCAGTCACTTTCATATTCTGCACTACTTTTTTTGGACTTCAAATGACGTTATGAAGAGGGAATAGACTCTGCTTAGAGTTTGGAAGCACAGAAAGAAAAAACACCTCTTTCTCTTTCATCTTAATTTTTTGCTAAGGTGTAAACATAGATTGTATTTATTGTGAGGAAAAAACACTGACCACCTATCAAGAAAGAATAAAGATTGGTTCAGCGCTACCTAGGGCCTACTTGGTGTGTTCTGTGTATGTTGACAACACATTTTTAGTTGCACTCACATTTCTCTCTGGATATTAAAATTATTTAAAGCATTTCAAATTCAGTACTAATTTGTTGACTCTGGTTATAACTATTTAAACAATTATAAAAGGTTTCTAATTAACAAATTCTATTTCAGTAAGTAAAAAGAGTGCATAAAAAGCTTGAGAGCTATGAAACCATCGACCAAAGATCATGTTCACATTTTTCCAGTCCATGTTGATTTCCTGCAATTTCTTATTAGAGCAGCCAAATAAAAGTGACTTCCATTCCCAAAAGCTTGCCTAACTTACTTTATTTAACATGCTAATAACACATTTATGTAGGTAGCAGCAGGTTAATGGCTTTAGGTTTTACAAATCATTAAGGTCCAAAATGCAAATTGAAATTGCTGAAACAATCTACTCTTTTAGTATTCCCACCCCAAAAAAAAAAAAAAAAAGTTAGTTTTAACAGCTTATTTCATCTACATTCTGTGCTTCTTTTTGCTAATACCTTGAAACAATATCTGTTTGGAACTACAAAAGGTATGCAATATGCAACTGTCTAAGAAAATTCAGGGAGTTCTTTACTTAGTGCATCACTTACACGCTTCCTACAGCTCTTACACCAGCTGACACACACAGAAAAATTTCTATTTCTATGTCACAATTTCTATGTCACAATTTCTATGTCAAATTCATTTTAAAGGCTATTTTTATTCATTTTTTCTCTCTTAAGAAGTCATTTTTCAACTTGAGATTATAAAAAGCCTCTCACCTCTGTAAAATCTGACACAAAAAAAGAAGTTGTTCCATCATACTCCACAAAATGCTTTGGAAACAATTTAACCCAAGTATCATCACCATAGAAAATTATTCTTTTCCCAGCTGTTTTTGCCTGCCATATCAGATTGTCTTCCAAAAGTGCTGGAGAATTGAGGTTCACAATAATATCAATGAAACCAGGTATGCTACCAGTCATCAAAGCCTAGATAAAACAAGAAAAGACAAGATCTATGTAACACAACCCAGAAAAAAGGGGTGATAGAATAAGATAGATTAAAATGAAGTGATGAAGAGTAAAAGCGAATGAATGAAATGAAGTGATGAAGAGTAAAAAGATTAGACTTTCAGTGAGGGTACACAACAGACTTAAAGAACATACGAACTCAGGCCATATCATACTGCCTGTCACCTCCTGATTTCTGGGATCTGACAGTACAAGTTGTTTTAAAAAGGTGAAAAATAACACTTTCCTCACTGGCAGTTAGTAAAAACCCTTTATAGGTCAGTTGAAATTTACTTCACATAATCACCAAGAGCCTGTCTGAATAGCCCAAGTAAACTGTTTTACCACTACACCAACAGTGCGGGACATTCAAAACAGTAGGCAAGACTCCTAAGAAAAATGCAATGCAACCATCAGGAGCTGCAAGTTTTTTTCCCCATTTCCAGAGCACTCTCTCAGCTTATTTAATGCACAAAATGCAAAGCAGTGACATCTCATTGTGTGAATCACTCGCATCAAGCATGGAGAAGCCCAGGTGATCAAGTCTGCCAATGACACAGCAATGGTTTTAGTTAGCTGGAACTTGGCACAACTCTTTTTACACCCTACAAAAGCATCCCTATGAGGTTTTAAATGTATGTCAAACGGGTTTTCCTAGCAAAAGATATAGGAGCCATGAGAAATACTAGCAAAAATGCTCAAAAATGGTCTTAGATAGAAGAAACGTATTTTTGATAACAGAGAGGCTCTTATAATTTCCACCGAATAAAAAGATTATGTCAATCATTTGTATGTTGATCATTTGTACTGTATCTTTAATTGCCTGTTAATATGTTGTTTCTCACAGCTCTTCCTAGCATGGAGCTACCAAATAAAGGGACAAAACAACTACGACAAAGTGTTTTTAAGTGGAAGCTACCAGCAGTTTCTCCTACTCAGCTCCTCTGCCTTCTTTTGATGACCAAACTTTTCTACAAACAGCACATGTAGGTCATGGAAAAATAACACTATACTGCATGACATGGAAAAATAATATTATACTGCATGCTCTCTTCAGTAAATTTATCCACAAATTGACAGTAACACAGAAAACCTGCTCCTTATGCCGCTCTGGACGTAAGCAAGATCCAAGTCTTTCCAATTTCTCAAAGTTAAAGGTGCATGAAATAACCCCAAACTGAAATAAATGGCTTACCTTAATTCGAGGCATAGTCACAGTGGGTGGCTTTGCCTCAGCAATGAAACTGTGGGATGTCCCTTTCTCAACAACCTGTGTCGTATAGGGCATGAACTGTTTTCCTTTGGGTCCAAACACAAAGTCATCTCTCAAAGCATCTATCAGCACAAGGACAACTTTTTTGAAAAGCGGTGGTGGAATTTTGGTCCAGTTGGAAACCGTTCCTAAGGAACAGCAAGAAAAACACACAAACTCATCAACAGATTTTAATATTCGCTACATACTAGTTGAACAGCAACTTCACCACAGAAATGAATGTTAAATTCAAAAGGGGAGAAGCTGCAAACAATGGTAAGCATTTGAAGTAATCAAAAGATGTGGAATTTTCAGGCCATCTGATAGAAAAAATAATTCCTACAGAGCACGTAGGAACAAAAACCAAGCATGTAGGACAAAAACCAAATGCACTAAGTAAATTTGTAAGAGGAAACCCACATTATTTAACAAGAATGTTTAAGAACATTAGAAGAGATAATAAACTAAACATATATCCATACATATATCCAAATAGGTATCCTAAATGTGGATGTAGGGCTGTCAGAGCAACCATTCAGTCGCACTGAGCTTGACCCACGCAGTGGCATTTTGCCCTTGCAGCAGCAATTTTTGGTCCTATATACCTCAATCAGGCAAAGGGACACAAATGATGTGGACTGGACTCTACATATAGATCTCCACTCAGAAAACACTATGGTCAACTTCTCTGTTACATATTATATAGTCTGTAACACATACTATGCATTTTAGGTTAATTACATAAATCTAGCATTTTACATGCTTTTAGAGTAAAAAGCATGCCTCTGAATAAGTGGTTGACAGTTTGGGAAGGCCAAAACCAATGTCATGTTGGAGAAGAGAACCTCAAAAGCACATTCAGAAACTCTATTTTTGTGTACATGGATAAACATCAATAAAATAGCATTCTCAAAATCTCCAGTGTTAAGGATTTTGTCAGACCTTCTCAAATCCTTTTGAATAGCCATTTCGGAGGGGGAGTGGAGTGAGGAGAAAATAACCATGAACATAGTTTGATTAAAGAGATAAAGATTAAAGATAATGATTTAAGAGATAAAGGTTTTTCTTTTTTTCTTTCTCAAGACTTGAACGATAAACTACACTGAGTCCCTCCTAGAGCATCGTTCACAGGCAAGTCAAGGTGTTAGGGAGGAGTGCACAGGATCACGAGCCACCTAAAGGTTTACACTGCGACCATGTTGCACTATACACATACATGCACCGTATGTTTATGTCTGCCATGGTTATTTATAAAAGTTACACCAGTTAAGCTTCATTTCAGGTAAGAAATGAACAGACAACACCGGTCCTGCCAGGAACCAATGTTGTGCAGGGACCCGCTATTAAACAGGCAACTCCGCAACTTTTACCAAGTGCCCCAGGAGCAAGATGTGAATGACTGAAACAAAATTACGCGTTAAAAGCTCAAGAACTGTGCCTAAAGCCTCCTGTGTCCTCGCTTCACAAGCAATTCCTTGCCTTCGGAGCACATTCTCCAGATCACAAGATCACTCCATAAGCAAATCCTAAACCAAGAGCCCGTTCTTGTAACCAGGGCCAGCTCCTCTTGAGTGTCACCGAGTATTTCCAGGAACCTCCACAACCTCCAGGTACTTTTAAGTGCTCCCCGGGTTAAAACAAGCCCTTAAGCAAGCCCGCCCCAAATTTCGTACTTTTCAAAAGAGTTGCAGGCTGCCCGCGAGCAGGTGACCCAAACACAGGGTTTTTACACCCAAAATTACTGTTGCTCCATCCAACAATATTCCCTGATCGCGACCGGGCGGTTCCGGTTGCCGTGGTGACGGGATGAGGGGGCGTGACCCGCGGCGCCGGTTGCCGTGGAGACGGGGTAAGGGGGCGTGGCCCGCATCGCCGATTGCCGCGGTGACGGGGGCGTGGCCAGCAGTGCCGGGTGGGGACAGTTACCGTGGAGACGGGGTAAGGGGGCGTCGCCCGCGGGGCCGGTTGCCGTGGTGACCAGAGGGGCGGGGGGAGCGGGTTGCTGTGGTTACCTGAGCCGGGCGGCGCCGGTTCGGCGGGAGGCTCCCGGCGGGCCTCGCTGCGGGGCAGGGACCTGACGGGCAGCGGGAAGAAGCCCCGTAGGAACAGGGCCACCCCCAGGGCCTCCACGAGGAGGCAGGAGGAGGCGAAGACCCCCGAGCGCAGCCGCATCCCCCCCCCCCGCCCCCGCGGCGCCCTGGCGGCACCGGCCGCTCCGCCAGGCCCCGCACCAACAGCTGTCCGGGACGGCTTGCGGCGACGCCCCGCCCCTTCACCGCCCTCGGCCAATCGGCCAGCGGCGTGCTCCTCAACGGCGCCCTGCTATTGGCTATAGGCCCAACCAACCCTCGACGGGGTGCCCAACCGGAAGGGAAGCGCCGCGCTCGAGCCAATAGGAAGTCAGCAAGGGAAAGGACTACAGCTCCCGGCAGCCCTCGCTGCTCGCTACGGGGCGGCGCAGCGGACATTTGGAGGCTCCGCGGCGCCATGTTTGCTGCGGGAGCCAGGGGCCTGGCAGGCGCTTGGCCCGAGCAATTAATTAATGTATTTTATATGTATTATCTAATATATGATATATATTATATATATATATATAAGATAATAATAATATAATATATATATTATATATAATATTATTATTATTATATATTATTATATATATTTTATATATATATATATATAAAAGATAATATATATTATATATATAAGTATATGTAATATGTATATGTCTGTATTTGTGTGTACTCATGGAAACATTAAGTGAACATCAGTTAATTCACCAGCATCTCCGTTCTTCCCCAGTGCCCCCTCTGTGCCATACAGCTCGTCCTGTTTAAAAAGCTCAGGTGTTTTTCTTTTGCTGCAACAACCAAATAATGGCAGCAAAAGTGAAATGTAATAAATGAAACATAGTAAATACAATAAAACATGCCCAAACCCGGATGCTCCCCCGGTTTCAAGTACCGCCAATACGCAGCCAGTTTCATTAGTTCCCTGTTCTTTTCCCTGGTCTAACTTAGGCTTTTTCTGAATGATTCCTGTGTGGTTTTGCTCTCTGACCTCTACCCCTGCTGTTAAGTTCCTAACTTGTCGGGATCCACTCTTGGCTCTTGCAAATCCACAGCAGTCAGGTCCTAATTTCACAGGATTAGGGACAGTGAGGGTGAATCCTGGCAATTTCTTCAGAACTTGACAAAGACAGAACTATTACTTTCTTCTGAGGGTGATTTCTGTAAATAGAATAATTCTTATTAAACTTCTTACTACTAGCACACTGAATAACGTATTTGGTCATACATAAGGGAAGTAAGAAGAGGGGATAGTCACAAGAATGGCTGTATTTTTTAACATACAGAGTGCATTTGCTCTAAATTCTAAGCTAAACTATTTTTAAAAAAATACACATTTCAATGTGATCGGCCACTCTGAAAGCACAGCTATGTGGCTAGAAACCCAGAAGGACACTTGCTATTTCTTTTCTTTTTTGTCCTATCATCTCTGCATTGCTCAGTACCTCGCAGTTTAAATGTATGTCAGGTCTCTGATGGTTTCAGCCGTGGCAGAACATCAGAAAAAAACGCCAGCTAAGAGCATCCCCTCAAGTGTGAACCTATGTCCTTGGTGCTGGCGCATGGCAAAGTCTCCAGAGGTGGATGAGGCAGGAGATGGTACAGAAGAACTGTTCCTGTGACCTCTATTACCAAAATAGCAGTAACTGTCAAGACAAAATGCGAAATTCTGCACCTAACAAGACAAGAGAGTTAAATAACATCAACAATAATATTTGTTCATTAGTATTATCCACGTCTAATAAAGGATTTTCTGTCTTTCTACAGATACACACATTTCTGGGTACTTTGGAGCCCATCCTGGCAGAGCTCAAGGGGTTCAAGACTGAGGGATCCAGGGGGTCACAGGTGAAAACAGAGCAGATTCCCAAGGAAAATTTCTAAAGCCATTTCAGCAAATGGGCTTGATTTGGCATGTCTGAGCATCTGAAATGCCGTATATTGAAACATCACCAGGCCCACTGACTACTCGGTGATAGAAGGGAAATTATTATAGACAAGGGGAGGGTTAATACCAGATAATACTGCACTTAAGGGCAGGCAATGAGAGAAGGATCCAGGCAGCAGTCAAGGCTTTGCCTTAGGCAACAAAACTGACTGAAATCCCCCCTCCATCTAATTTTACCTTCATGTCTCGCATCCTTTGATCCCACGGTCTCCCCTTTTCTCCTCTCCTTCCTGACAAAAACAAACAAACAAAATCCCTCCCTCTCGCCCCTGCAGCTCCTGACAACTTCATCTATTTCTAGGTAGGCAGAGGAGCGCATGTCCCAGGATTTGCTTAACACGGGGGAGCTTTTCTCAGTCACACGGTCCTTGTCCTCCTGAGAGAGGTTATTGCAGTGCAGGGATCCCCCATGACTGGGTCCCTGTGAAAAAAAAAAAATGGTGATAAAAATAATTGCCCAAGTTGTTAGATATAACATTGCATTCATCTGTGAAGCATAAATTAACCAAAATAACTCTCCCAAGTAAGAAATCCTAGACAAGCCTTTTTGTTTTTCTAATGTTCCTCCCTTCCTAGACCACAGCTCTTCATTTAGAAATGAATTAGCCCTGAAATTCACCTGCAGGCAGCAGATGTGCAGTAACCGCCTCTGATTTATTCTCTAAGCCCAGATATTTATTAGCGCTAAACACCACAATATGTTTTATACTGAAACCACAAGTTGGTAACGCGTTTCCCGCTGCAGAAGGCAGCTCCTGTCCTCAGAGAGCACTTACCCCAGTGCTTGTTTGCAGCAGGGAGGTCTGCTCTCCACTGCTTCGCACTGCAGGCGAGCACGATGCCTCATGACAGCACCACGTCCCTGCTCGTCTCAACACTCAAAATGCTATTCAGCTCTTTATACTAAAACAGAAAGGGGAAAAAAAAGGCTATCAGACATTAATAACACTGTTTACTCATTTTTGTAACCAAATTATGTGCTTTTTTAATTAAATTCTTGTAGATCAACCAGATCAGTACCAAGGGGGAAGCTGAGCCTGCACCAGGGCTCTTAACAGACCCATGTCCAAGGCTGCAGTGAGGTCAAGAAAGGAGTTTGTCAACAGGAAAAACAGGAAAAAACAATAACCTACCTGTGCCCTGGCTCCCAAAGGTAATTAATGAGGCAGAGCCTTGTCAAAGGCATCCAAAAATGCTCAGGGGAGATACTGAGCACTCACACTTTAAGGCTAGGTGTCTCCCAATATCCAGAACTTCTTGCCTCAATAGCAACATAAGTGTTGTGGGCATCTGGCTTCCCCACTCACACTGGTGTTTGTAGAGGGGCTACATATTTACAGGATGGGCTAGGGGCTAGAAATCACATTTCTTGAGAAATCAGACCAAAAATCCAGTGCAATCTGATAAGATACTCTGCTTTACTAAGCACCCTGAGTTTTCCTGTCTGAGTTTTCCTTCATTTCCAAAACAGGTCCTGACATCCATTAAGTGAAACAATACTTAAGACCTGCAGATGATTTTAGCTATTCATGGCACATTTCTCAAAGTGCAGGTAGGGAATTGGACCTGGACAATGGCAGCACTGAAACTGGCTGAGCTTTTTGTAAGATTTTCAAAGGTCACAATTACCCTTAAGTGTCAGAAATGAAACAAGGGCCGTTTTATGTCCTTTTCCTTAATGAGCTTTCTGAAAGCTTTCAGCGAGCATAAGAATTACTCTAACAATCAAGAACTGTCACAGAAGATGAGATTTCTATAAAACCCTTAACCAAATTGGTATTCCATCCTTCGGATATCTCGACTAATAGAGGGAACATGTGAGCATTCTCATCGGGTGAAGCAGAACTCTCCCATTACCAGCTCCCTCTTAAGCAGCCACAGACTGGGCTGTGAGATTAATCACCAGCATATCTAGGACACTAAAACCACACAGTATTAAAGACACTCCTAAGGGTTGGAGGATAAAGGGTTTTTTTTTTCTATTTTATCTTTTTTTTCCCCTCATTAACACTGATAGAACTCAGACCCTCAAAGCTGTCAGATCCATACTCTGTACAACTGTAAGTCTTATCTCAATCAAGGACCTGACACGTGTTTTTTACAAGCAAATTGCACAGGGAAGGGGATAAGGAGGAGTAACAGGAAAACTCCTCAGTGGTTGTGTTATGTCTTCCTTAAATCCTTCACACTCCATCTTGTTGCTCTTTGGGATTCCTAGGACAGGCTCTTCCGCAAGGACTGCAGTGCCTGGAAGGGGTGATTTTCACCCTCAGCATGTTGGGGCTCCCTTGTTCCTGTTCCCAGCCCCATCCAGCTCAGCCCTGCTCCATCCTGGATGATCCTCTGCGCCTTGCTAGGGGACACAGACCCCCCGCTAGGCCCCATCTTGCTGGGCAGCACCCACCAGACCAGGATTTCTCTCATTTTGAAGGCTAATGACCAGGATTTGCGACATCCTTTGGGCGTTTTTGCCTCAGGGTGTCCTCGCGCTCTGCCTGGGAAAGCGCTGGTGGGAATGTGGGGCTTCTTCACGGCTGTGGTCACCAACAACCTGAGCATCTTGGAGCGATCCTGCTCCCACACATCCCGCATCGGCCCTGCCGTGCTTCCAGGTGACGAGATACAGCAAGTTCATCCCCATGTGGGGAAGAGCTTCCCTGTGAGGGTGCCCGAGCCCTGGCACAGGCTGCCCAGGGAGGCTGTGGAGTCTCCTGCTCTGGAGATCTTCCCAACCCGCCTGGATGCCGCCCTGTGCCCCGTGCTCCGGGTGTCCCTGCTGGAGCAGGGGGCTGGACTGGATGAGCTGTAGGGGTCCCGTCCAACCTCAACCATCCTGTGATCCTGTGGTTCTGTGATACAGCAAGATTCTTGCTGCTTGCAGCATAATCCTACAGCTCCCAGATATTAAATGTTGTGCAAAGCCTTTGCTGCCTCTATCTACCTAAGCAAGCCAGTGCCAAAAATCACTACCAGCTAAACAAACAAGTGGGGAACCAGAGGGCACCACGATCAGTCCTGGACCTGCTCCCCAAGGGCTGGTTTCACCACCAGCTTTCCTTCTCTCCCCAAACATTTCCACCCACCCTGTCACCCTACGTCTGCCTGTTCCCTTTTCCGAAACATTTTCACCCTTCTTGTCACCCTACGTCTGCCTG